AAGCGTTTATTTGTCATGCGTTTAAACACATTTTTTTATCTGTTCTTTCATATGAAAAAACGAACTTTTTTACAAGAGAGCTAGAATGCATCGAAAAGAAATATTTGAACGCACGTGGTTTTGAATAATGACATGTTTTTAGAGAATAAAGAACTATTTTAGTTTGAATTAGGGTGTGATTGTGAGTCTCGATGTGAGTGTGGGTACAGATGTTAATCTTCTCTTCGGTTTCATTATCACCTACAAAATATCCACACCCTTCAATAGATCGATGGAGAATGCACAAAAACTTGAAATGAATACAATTAATTATTTCATCCGAGAGAATTTTAGTGTTAACTTTTAATCATAGTGGTTGTTTGTTATCCGAATAAGCCGTGCAATAGATATTATAAATTATGACTATAACATTTCAAGAGATTTCAAGACCAAGGTATTTGGTGTTTCCTTCTCATCAGGATCTGAAATTTAGAGCATTTCATTTCTTGAGTAAAAAGAGCACTGTAATGATGATTGTCGAAACTTAAATCATGTTGTATTTGATTTCAATTCATATATATATGTAATTTAGATAAAATTGATATATTTTCTATTTCTTAGAAGAGGCAATTTTCGCATAAGCGAAAATTGAAAATATAAAAAAGACCAAAAATATAGTTGTTCATTGATTTAGTGTAGTATTCTTTCAACAGAAGTTTTTTCTCAAAAATCGACACAACTAAAGACTTCAGAAATATATATCACTACGCTATCGACATCACTCTACAAGATGATTACATTTGTTTCGACTAACTCTGACGTCAAAATTTCTACACGAAAGTAGACCGTTATGTGAACAGATCGAAGTCTAATTTAATTATGAGAAATAGTATTTGCTTTTTTCATGGATTTAGTTTTTCAAAGTTTATGATTTACGTTATTGTTATTTATTGATTTGTGAAAAGGTGTTATATTTAAACATTATAATGATCCTCGAATTATCGACTTATTTCGATAGAAAGAAATTGCCTAAGAATCTTGATTATGATTGAGCTGTTTATAACAGTTTCATTAAAACGATTTTCGAGCAGAGAATTTAAAAAACACCAAAACGTTTGAAAAAAATACTATATATAAAAAGTTCTATATTTTTGTCATTTTTTATCGAAAATCCTATATTTCTAGACAAACTTGATCCTCTAAGGATTCCTATATTTTTGAAAAATCGCAGTCGGAGGCCAGCCTATACGCTTATTCATTTGATTCATAAGACACATCAAAGAAGATTGATGTCGCGGTACCGCTGATCTAAATAATTACTGAATCGAGGATGTATCTTGTTGGTCAATAGACTATTTCAATCTAAACTACACGTTGATATTAGTAATTGTATTTGAGAATTATATTATAAATAATCATGTGCAAGAATGATGATGCTTACTTGTGTGCTTCGTCTTGTGCCACACTCAACCTTAAATCATTATCATTATCAACTTCCACCTATCCTGCATGTACAATTCAAATGGGTTATTCGAAAGTTAAAAATTCTTTTCGAAAAAAATTTTTCTGAATGTATTCCTGAATTTCATTAGGCTTTACAGCATTTACTTTTTTCTTATAAAAATAAACAATTCTTATCGATATATTTGACAATTATCAAGATGAAATCATAAAATAAATAAATGTGGAAACATCGGATTTAAATCCAAGTGTTATGTGTACTTCAAAAAGTGAACTGGATAGATGAGTCATCCTATCACGTGTAGGCATCAAAATTATCCTAGCGAGCCGCTTCTATTAAAACTTGATTTGTATCGGTTACTGCTCAACCAATAGGATTTCGAGGCAAGTAGAGCTCAGATTCGAGTTCTCCGTCCTAGACAACCTCGAACTATCACCTCCTCTGTGATCGGAAGATGGAGCTTTACTTTTCGATCAATCGAAGCGTGAACAAAAACAGAACCAATTTCCATTTAAGTATCTTTGCAATAGGTGACTTACGAGGGAACATTCCCAACTGTCACATCGCTTTTTAGTCGAGTATATGCGCATCATGTAGGTTCTAATGATCTATGAATACTCTGAAAAAAGTTCGTGCTGCTAGCTTATTACTACCGAGATATTGCATTTTTACTGTATGTTTAAGAAAAAAGCCGTGGTCCCCCTCAGGAACACTAGGAAAATTGACTTTC